GAAATAATCATATTTTTTCTACTGGTACATATCAATCAATATTTAGTTTAAATTGTCTATCAATTTCCCTAGTTCTTAAGCTGATCTTTGCCCTGGAAAAAATGAGAATAGTAGACAAACTTTCCCCAAAGTTTTGTTCACTATTCAGTTAAAAAAACAAAACAAAACAAAACAAAAAAAAATACTTGGCACTTAGATCTGCTTATTATTTTGAAAAATGTAATTTTGGGGAGAAAATTTTTAATTATTTTTAGGAAGAGCCTGAAGAAACCCCAGTGAGATACTCTGTAGAGAGGTCCTTTGTTAGTGTAACATCTGACCTTCTATATCTTTGGAAATCATACAACTTGGCTAATGTAGTCCTTAAAGAATTAATCAAGCAGATTGTAAGGCCCTAGTTACAGTGGAGCCAGCCAATTATGAGTTGCTCAGAAATTCATCACTGGCATGTCCAACCACATTTTCCCACATAAAGATTAGTAGAAATATGTTGGAAACAAGGCCCATTCCCACCCCAGCACAGCTACAGCATGTGCTCAGTGAAATTCAACAAAAGTTTTGCTTTAGTAAAACAATTTGAAAATCTTTTTGATTCCTGTCTTTAACCTAATAACTTCTGCCAACATTGCAAAGACTGCCCTATTTAGTTAAAATCCAACTAGGAACTTTTATATTCAAACACAATTCTCAATTCAGTACCTGAATTCATAAGTAAGTTGGTGAAAACCCCAAATACAATCTTTGTCTTTTTACTTTTGTGATAACACCCTCCTGAGCCTTATACTAAAGAGAAAGCTGTTTCTGCAAGAGGGAAATGAAAGGGGCCAGAGTAGATGAAGATTGGTTCTCTAAGGAGAGGGCAGTGCTGCTCTTAAATAAAGAAGCTCCTTTCAGATAAGCAGAATCAGATTCCAGTTCAGTTGGTTTGCTGGCTACCCTTACTTTGAACTCTCATATTTAACCCAGCAGGCTTCAAAGCAGGTGAGAAAATGACCTACCACTTAAAAGCAATTTTTCCTTTTTCAGGAATTCTGGCCTTGGAGAGTATCAGCTCTGATATCAGCACATTCCACATCACTAGGGATTTATGCAACTTTTTTCATTGCTGTATGTCTAATGTCAGACCAGGTTTTCATCTCAACCAGGAGGGAAAAAAAAAGCGGGGGTGGGGGCGCAGGCCTAACTTGTTAAAAATATTAAGTCTTATTCCACAGAGCATTATACCATGCAAAACTAGAGGCATTAAAACCACTACCATTCTAGTTCATTCTCTTCTGTTTATCAAAATCTGATGTGCCGTGAGTATTAAAAACCATTAATCCCCAGTGCCAGGCATCATAAAAATTTGTAACAAATACATTTTAAGAAATTAAAATTGAATTTACTCTAGCAAGTGAATTAATATAAAAAGTGTTATATGAGGGAAAGACAATGGTAACAATAAATAAATTTAGATTTTTTTTTTTAATTTTGAGACAGGGTTTCATTAAATTGCTTAGGGCCTCTCTAAGTGGCTAACACTGGCTTTGAACTTGTGATCCTCCTATTTCAGCCTCCTGAGTCACTGGGATTACAGGCACATACAACCATGCTCTCAGCTTAGGATATTTTCTTGAATGGCTTCACCTTACCAAGTGAAAATATAAATACATTTCAAACATATTTCATAATCTGGATGTGGTGGTACAGCTATATAATCCCAGCTATCAGGAGGCTGAGAGCTCAGGAGGATGACAAGTTTGAGACCAGACTGGCCAACTCAGACCCTGTCTTAAATTAAAAAAAAAAAAAAATGGGAATATAGCCTAGTAGTAGTAACCCCTGGGTTCAATCCCTAGCATTGGAAAATAAAACAAATATGTACTTCATCCTTTCCCGACTTAACTGAAAATCCTAATAGAGGCAGCTTGCAATATGCCAACAGGCTTTATTCTATAAGGCAGTTTTCCAGTGCCAGAAACTTGAAACAGTTCTCTCTTTGTGGTTCACATACACATAATATGCTAAGGGTATAATGCTAATAATATTGTTTAAATGACACTCAAATTACCATTTATGCTTCAGTATCTATGGAAAATGCATTTTGATTAGGATACAATTATTAGGATACAACTCCTCCAAACAAGGAGAAGGCTCTTTTGTGACAATGATGAAGGGAACAACAGCTAACACCTACTTTTTATTGTGGGCAGACATGGTTCTAAATACTTGATATATTTTAAGCTCATTTAACCCTCACCAAAATCTATATGCAGTTAGCACTATTCTCATTTTACAATTAAAGATAGAAAAGGTTGGGGCTAAGGTTGGGGCTCAGCAATAGAGCGCTTTACTAGCATGTGTGGGACCCTGGGTTTGATCCTCAGCACCACATAAAAATAAATAAACAAAATAAAGGTATTTGTCCATCTACTACTAAAAAAATTTTTTTTTAGAAAGGGTAGAAAAGGTTAAGAAACTCACCTGTGGCTGCATAGCCAATAAATGTAAGAGCTAGAATATAAAGTAAAGTAGTATGGTCCTCAGAGTCTCTGCTCATAACCACTCTGCAATACTTCTCCACCTGGATGATATGGCACTAGCAAGTGTTCTGCATCCCTCATATTGGTGAAGGAGAACAGAACAAGGTTTCTTAAGCTTAATATGCATATAGAATAACCTGGGGATGTTGTTAAAATGTAGATTCTGATTCAGGATGTCCGCAGTGGTGCCTAAGGCTCTGCACCTTTAACCAGTTCCTGGGTGAAGCTGGTACTCCTAGTGCATGGAGTGAATAACTAGAACTTGGGCCTCTAGTTCCCTTACTATTTTTTTTGTCAAGGCATATTTGTAAGTTGTGTTTATGAACTGGAGACTGCCCATACTATAATTATTTTCCATTAACTTTCAAATGAGACCTGCCTTTGGAACTACCATATGAGAAATGCTGCTGTTACCAACCACACAAATACCCAAAGATAGTGAATAAATGTTTGTTTTATTGTTCGTCAACTAAAATCACAGTATATCAATAACTTTTGGTCTAAAAAAGAAACTTTTCACTTTCAAATATGTAATTCTTCACTCTCAGACGCTGCTAGAGAAATGCTAAAGAACTTATGCTAAGTAATCTTTAAGACTCTTCAGGTGCAATTAATGACCTCTTAGGTAAAGGCAGTCACTATACACCAACAAGGATGAATAGAGCATACACTGACTACACTTTGCATTAATTTTAGCTAGTAACTCATGGAACTATACTACTAACAATTGCTACATACCTATTTCAGATTTTAGATCTCCTTGCTCTACACCTCCTCCTTCCCACTCCACTGCCCTGAAAGAAACCCATGGATCATCCCTCCCATTGCTTGCCTGTATCTTTTAAATACACAGGTATGCCTTTTTCCTAGCTATTAAGTGAATGGAATTCCCTTTTTAGTCCTGTTTTTTGTTTTTGTTTTGTTTGTTTTTTCCATACCAGATTACACAGTAAGGTCATTTCAGTTTGAGATGCACTCAATTCCCAATCAGCACACTACAAACAACAAAGTTATGATATAATTAATCACAAACTTCCTTTTTACATTAAAAGGAAACAGAATAGTCAGTTTCCAACTTAAATATCTATACTCCCTGAACAACAGTGGAAATTCATTCTTCTTGAATCCTGTCCCAGAATCAATGCATTCGCAGACTCCCAGGCCTATAGCCAGTGGCAACTTAACACATTGTACAGTTGACCTGCAGGGAGAAAGGGAAACCAGTGCTCTTACCACTGGTGCCAGAGAAAGCCAACTGGTCTGTAAGGCACACAATAAACTATTCTTAAGGCAAGCAAAGAAATTGTGAGGGAAACAGGAAGTCAGAATGGAAGCATATAGGAAAAAAATACAGAAAATAGAAGACCAAGTAAGGACTAGTTTTTCTATGGCTCTGAGTGCTTTTATATTTGGGAATATAATGAATCAGCATTTTAAATATTTTCAGGTTTTAACTTTTATTACCTAGTAAGACTGCAAAGATGACAAGAAAAGATGGATTTCTAAAAAGTCTTCAGAGATTTTAGGAGAATTATCTTTGGTAATTTTACTTTGAGCCAGTGACAATAATTAACAAATTTATATAGAAGCATGAATAGTGATGGAACCGCCTCTTTAATATCAGTCCTTAAGTACTTAGTGAGTTGGGAAGTGGACAATTCAAAATTAAAGAGTAAATATAAAAATAAAGGCCTTTCCATAGCTCTATATCCAAGATTTTGGAAGGTCTACATGAACAAACAGACAAATTAAGAGAACCTTTGAACCTTTTGAAGCACATTCTGAATGCAAGGCAAACATTCTGTCTGTCCCATTTTACCTACTTATTCTCCATCCTAGTTGATTTTCAAGTTCAGCAAATCCTTAGAACTAATGATTTAATGTAAATGGAAAAATCAAAAGGCTTGTTTACAAAACAGGGAGCTTATTCTTTTTTTGTACTGAGTATTTAACTGAGGGGCATTTTACCACTGAGTACATCACCAGTTCTTTTTATTTTTGAGACAAAGTCGAGCCAAGTTGCTGAGGGTCTCATTAAATTGCTGAGGCTGGCCTCGAACCTGTATTCCTCCTGCCTTGGCCTCCCACGTTGCTGGGATTACAAGCATGCACCACCATGCCCAGCAAAAACATGGAGATTTTTAAAGGCCAAAGAAAATGCAATTATGTTAAAAAAAATAATTTGAATGTTCTTTATCTAGTAGTGAATGCTGTTTATCACTAGAAGTTATCTACAAAGAACAACTTTATAAAGTTATAGCATTGTATTCTTTAAATTTTAAAGCAACAGAAGTATATAGCTCAAATGACCAGAAATTTATGTTTGACATATTTGTGGTAGTAACTTTACAAATTGATTCCTGTAATTTACTATAACAAATATCTTTCACTGCTCATCTGGGTTAGTCCAAACAAACCAGAGATGGTGTCTTGTGTGTTTTACAAATATTCTACACAAGTCCTTGAGATCATACTTACAGCTTTAGCAAAAACACCCATGATTTCAGGAAATTGGTGTGTGAGAAGGGCTATCATTGCTGTAGAAGAACACAGTCCTGCTGTAAAATGGATGAAAAAAGGAAGCTCCTTCTTTGGATAAACAGAAACATGATGAAAGGCTGCAAAGGAAAAAGAGAAGGAATGAATTTTATTTTACAATATGATGTAAACCAGTCTTAATATTTTCAAATTAAAGTTATATATCTAAAAAACCAAAAGGAAAAATTTTTAAAGAAAAAAAAGTTATCTCTAGCCAAGGAAGGTAAAAGAAATTAATCCATTATTAATTCTAGCATCAACAGTATATCCACATAGCCAGATGACTGTTTTGGGGTTTGGGAAGAGGATGGTATCGTGGGAAAGAACATTGATTACAAAGTCATGCTGAGGTGGTTTTGAAAAAGAGCTTTGTCACTTATTAGCTGTGTGATCATGAATAAGTTGCTAAACTCTGTAGAAGTTGCTATGGAGTTGTTATGATGAACACTATAAGTACTCAATAAATGAAAGTTGTTATTAATTCTTCTTCTTTGGAAGCTGAGACTAGTATAAAGAAACAGACATGTCATAGGGATTCCTAGAACCACCAGTTAATAATAATTTTACACAGTTATTAATATGTTCTATATGTGCCTTTCATTGAGCACTGTAAAAATTAAACTAGAAAACCAAAGCCCTAGAATTCTGGCTATAAATGAATCCCTTGTCTTATTTTACCACATTTGTATACTCATGTATCATTTTTCCAGTGGCTACAGATTTCATTACCAATTATACTCAAGTATTTATATTTTATTTAAAATTTGAAAATATCTGAATAATAATATGGAGATGAGCCTATTATAGTGCCCGACACACAGTAGGTACTCAAGAAATTTCGTTAAACTGAGAGCTATTATAAGACTTAGAATAGCTCAGGAAGTTGACTGCTCAGGGCTGGACACTAACCCAGGAATTCCTGATGTAATATCCTGCATTAGTAAGGGATGACTAATTCGGTGCTGAACCAAGGTCAGCTATAAATTTCACTTTTTTAAACATAATGATTAACAGAGAGGATTACACCTAAGCTTCTTTCAATAGCTTTATGCATCATATTATATTCAGAAAGTATATACGAAAAGCCAAACTCATTTAAAAAATCCAGAAAATTGCCATAACTTTGAGCCATGTTTAAAGTAAAAACACAATGGAACTGAATTTTTTTAAAAATTAGAAACATTAGAAACTGTAGACAACATTGTGCTTTAATACCCAAAGAAGCAGCAATCCCCTTTGCCCTATACATCAGCTATGAAGTTGACTTCTTCCAGCAAACCAAGAGAAACTCTGATATTTCAGAAGGCAGGGAATAAGACAGTAGAATTAATAATATTAGCTAAACAGTATAGCATTTTATGGCTTATAAAGTGCTCATTTGATTATTTTTCAATAACCTTGACATAGATAGCCTTCTTCCCATTTTATAAGGTAGAAAACTGCATAGCTTTAGTGGGAACATTTTCTAAAATATGAGATTTTTATACTGTAGAAGAGAACTAATTACTTCTTTTTGGATTGCTTTCTGTAGATTCATTTGTCAGTCAATGTTTGGCTAATACATCAATATAATGGATGACTGATTTCAGTACAGAAACACTCCCTTGGAACGAAAGTTCAAATTTCATCATTGGCTTGTAGAGAAAAATTTATCAGGAGGCATAAAAGACAAGTAAATAGCTATGTGAACTAGGGGAATAGTTCAAGCCTGAACTTATGAGGTCCATAAGCAAATTCCAGAATGCTGTAAGTCATATCAAGATTGAAGGAGAATTAAAAACAAAAAACATTAAGTACTCTTGGGTATTAGAACTCCACATTATTAAAAAGTTGTTCACTCTAACAGAAAAGTAAGAGACAGAAAAAAATAGCAATATATACTGTAATCAAACAAAATCCTCCAGTCTTCTACTTCTACCTCCTGGAGTTTGCACCTATATGGATTTAGAATTAATACAGGCTTGCCAAAAAATAAACTGTCTGGTCTTATAGCTTATGGCTCAACATATAAAAATAACTCCTGTTTTATTAATATCAATATGTAAAGTGGGCCTTATATTAGACAACCCTTATAATAATTTACAAAGAAGCATTATTTTAATTGCCTTACCTAATATCTCAGATACTCCTTATTTGAAATTTTTTTCTTCCTTTTGGTTTCTAGGATATCTACTTCTGGCTCTTGTTCTGGCTTGCTGACCACTCCTTCACTAAATTCTCAACTATTTTCCTGCCATCAGTTCCTTAGACATTTTTGTGCCCCTATGGTTCTACACTTAGTTCACTTCTTACACTATATAGTTTCCTTGAGAGATCTCAATCGTGCCTAAGACTTCTTTTGCTATCTAGAGATATATGGAGAAAGAGATGCCAGGACCCCTGGAAATTTTATTTACATAGCCTGGTCCTGTCCTTAGGCGACAGCTAAATGGACCAGAAATAAACATGTGGATAAATCTGATTCTCTTTCATAGAAGTTGCAGGAATGAGATATTATTCATTTTGTATTGTTTGTGTGAACTGATGACATGTAAACACAAAGCCACAGGGGCATCAAGTTAGACCTCTTCAATGTCTACAAAAGGAAAGTCAAACTGCAAAGAGAAAGATATAATAAAGTAGATAAATTGGGAGAAGCAGAAATAAGAAATCATATAAAAATAAGGAGGCAGGAGTGGGGGATGTGGCTCAGTGGTAGAGCGGTAACTAGCATGCACAATGCCCTAAAACCCCAGCACACCACACACACACACACACACACACACACACACACACACGAGGCAGGATGAGAAAGGAAAAACAGAAAGTGAGAACAGGAAAAACTGAAAAAAGACAGCCAGAGATATGCAGACAACTGGCTTCTAGAAATCCTAGTGGCCATTTACTTCCTGATCATATCCTTTATGACATCCAACTATTTAAGTGTTGTTTTGGGTTTTTTGATGACTTGGTGTTTTTTCCAACAAATTCTCATTTATGATGAGGTTAGAATGGTTGGAATGGTTCTCTTTTACTTATAACAAGAGTATGTGTCCAACATCTATTATGTGTATATCATATACATATACTTTTCTCTCTCTCTCTCTCTCTCTCTCTCTCTCTCTCTCTCTATATATATATATATATATATATATATATATATAAATACATCTTAGACACATACATTATACAGATACAAAATATAAAGACTTATGTGTATGTAAAATTGATTATGTAATAAAATATTTAAGTACACATACACACACATATATTTATACACATAAACATGCATTTGTGCATAAATAAGTACAACATTATACAAACAACATAATCAAAGCCTGAACTTATCTATTTTCTCCACCTCTATTCCCAAACCTGCTCCTCCTGCTGTAGAAAAGATCTGCCATTCTCAGAGTCACTGAAGTCAGAAAATTGAGATTCATCCTTGATTTCCTGAAGAGATAGGCTCAAAGTTTCCTTAAAATCTCTTCCAAACACACAGCATTTAACACATTGTTTATCTATCAGTAACTTTCTATTAACCATGAGCAGCCTAGGAGTTCAGAATAGGGTAGGGAGGAAAAGATACTAATTTTTAACATTTTGTTGAGTACTTACAATGTGCCTGGCATCTTTAGAAGAATAAGTTAATGAATCTAACTAATTTGAACAAAATTTATTGAATTATCTTTTATGGTGAACCTTATAAGAGAGAATTACAGGGACAATAAAGAAAATCCTGGCCCTCAAAGAGTTTACAATCTAATGTGCATATATGATTATACAACCAATGTAATTCTACATGATGTATAACAAGAAGAATGAGAAGTTATACTTCATATATGTATAATGTGTTAAAATACATTCTACTGTCATGTATAACTAATAATAACAAATAAAAAAGATCTATATAATTAAAAAAAGAGTTTATAATCTAGAAGAGGAGCTCTCAAAGTGCTCAGTATATTTATCTCAACAGATGATGGAAAATAAACCACCCTAGGAGAGAAACAGCAGCATACTTAGTTTGCCATAACCTCTCCACTAGAATATTCATCTATCTGAACTTTTCAGCTCATTAAATTTGATGATTGTAAAACTGCAACTTTACTTCTCTAGTCTTCAGTTCTAATGGTTCAGTATAGTAAAAACTGGCACAGATTTTCATCATGAGAAAAGACGGTACTAGTGTTTAAACCCTTTCACATGCTTACTTATCAGTTAAATCATAAAATATAAAGTTAAACAGAAATTTAGCAGTTCACATAGAAAAGGAGTGAGGCCATGTTTAGATTACTCTTTTAAGAATTCCTTTGAGAGTTTATTCTTTCTTCCTAAAGGCAGAGACTATACTGAAATACTCTCAACAATCTTGAACCCACTGACTTCTGGTTCTTCTACTTCTCCTCTGACTGTTCTTCAAACTGGGAACGGTAGCTCCTCTAACTTTGTTCCTTATAAAAACTGTTTGGGGACTGGGGATGTAGCTTAGTGGTAGAACACTTCCCTGGTTAAGACCTAGGTTCAATTCCCAGTACCACAAAACAAACAAAAACTGTTCTGGCTAATTTGGGTCTTTCCATATAAATTTTAGGGTCAGATTGTTATTTTTTTGCAAAATCACTCCTGGGATTTTGATGGAGATTGTATTAAATCTATAGATTAATTTGAGGAAAACCTCCACCTAAATATACTGGGTCTTTCAATAAATCAACATGAACTGTCTCTCCATTTATACAGATTTCTGTCAGCAATTTTATACTTTTTAGTACAGTTGCAATTTTGTTAAATTTATTCCTAAGTATCTTAAACTCTGTTATTGAGATTAGGATTATTTTCTAAATTTCACTTTTGTGATTTTTATTGCTAGTATATAGATATAAAATCAATTTTTTTTCGCTAGGAATCAAACCTAGGGCTAATGCTTATTAGGCAAGCATTCTAACACTGAGCTATACTCCTAAACCCAATATTTGAATGTTGGTCTTATAGACTACAACATTGCTGAACTCATTTATTTGTTCTAATAATATTTTTATGAATTTCTTAGGATATGTTACATAGCAGATCATATCACGTCATCTGTGAATAAAAGCGGTTTACTACTTCTTTGTCAATATAAATGACTTTTTTTCCCCGTGGCTGATTACACTGGCTATGACCTCTAGTTCAATATTGGACAGAAGGTAAGAACTGGTATCTTGGCTTACTCCTGATCTTAAGAGGAAAGCATTAAGTATGATTTAATTGTTTTTTGTGGACATCCTTTATCAAGTTGAGAAAGTTCCTTTCTATTTGTAGTTTGAGAGTTTTTATCATGAAAGGGTGTTTGATTTTGTGAATATTTTTCTGCATCTATTGTCCTTTATTAACACAGTGTTGTCATGTTTTCAGATGTTAAATCAACTGTGCACTTGTGAGGTAAATCCCACTTGGTCATGATATATAATCCTCCTCTTATGTTGCTGAAGTCAGTTTGCTAATATTTTGTTGAAGATGTCTGTGCCCATATTCATAAGCCTTAATGTTATAGTTTTTTTTTTCTTTTTTGTGGTACTGGGGATTGAACCCAGAGCCTCATGTATGCTTGGCAAGCACTTTTCCTTTGAGTTACATCTCTAGCCCTAATCCATTTTATTTTATTTAAAGATGGGGTCTCACTAAAATGCTGAGGCTGGCCTTGAACTTGCAATCATTTTGCCTCAGCTTCCCAATTAGCTGATTACAGGCAAGAACCACCATGCCAGGTCTCAGTTTTCTTTTCTTATTATGTCTTTGTCTGGTTTTGGTATCAGGATCTCACCAAATGTGTTAAGGAATGTTCACTCCTTGCTATCTGCTTTCTGACATGAGTTTGTGAAGGGTTAGTATTATTTCTTTAAAAAATACAAGTAATTGGGGCTGGGGATGTGGCTCAAGCAGTAGCACGCTCGCCTGGCATGCGTGCGGCCCGGGTTCGATCCTCAGCACCACATACAAACAAAGATGTTGTGACCGCAGAAAACTAAAATAAATAAATAAATAAATAATTTTAAAAAATAAAATAAAAAATACAAGTAAGAAGACTGTTTTTATCTTTACTTTTTGTGTCCTCTGTGCATCTAGCACAGAATTTTGAACAATAAATATTTGGACATCAATTGAATTATGAAAATAGTCCTGTAAGTGGTTATAAAACTATTTAAACAGTGTTCCAAGTATAAACAAAAAGGACTTTTAAAATGGACAATACTTAGGAAATGCTGTGGTTTGATTGTAGTTTGTATCTCCTCCCCCTGAGGTTCATGTGCTGGGAACTTGGTCCCTAGGATAGCCAGTATTGGGAGATACAGCTTTCAAAAGGTAGGGCTTGGTAGGAGGTCCTTGGATCATTAGTGGCATGCCCTTTGAGGGATTGTGGGAAGCCAGTCTCTCTCTGCTTCTAATTCAAGATGAATCACTTGATGTTTCTGATGTTGCCACTGTGACCACAGAGCCTACACAGTGCCATTTCAAATCCCAAAACTGTGAGCTAAATAAATCTCTTTTTTTCCACAAGTAGCCTATGTCAGGTATTTTGTTGCAGTGATGAAAAGGTAACTAATAGAGAAAACAACCTAAAAGTTATCTAAACAATTATAAGCTTAATAAAACTAAAATATTTACTTACTAGGTAAGAGCTCTCTATCAGCAGTCTCTGTGCAGCTAGGATAAGGGTAAAATAGATGTCCTTTCTCTAATGGGTATGGAATCATTCTAAAAGCTGAAAAAAAATACATATGTTGACATTCAATTCTGTCTTATTTACCATCTAATGTATGCTATAAATAAAAAACTTATCTTGGAGATATACTTTTAAAAGTCTTTATATAATATTTTATTTTCTTTCTTAGAGCAAGATTTTAGATGAAAGACACACACAAAAGCAAAAGAATGAAACAAAAAAAGAATAGGCAAGACTTTAAAGTAGAGAACTATAAGTGTCTGGACTGACTAGAGTAAAAGTAAAGGTACTGGCTGGAGCCTTCTTTGTCTCAGTCTCTTCACTATAATCATGGACTTAACTCCACAAGTATAAATTCTGCTCCTAACAGGAACCTTCATAAAACTATAATGTATATAATTGTTGTGGTCCTAACTATTGGCAATCTAAAGGAGATCTAACTTCACATGTGAGGTTCACCATGTGAACCTTAATCTAGTTCAGGGATCACCAAAGTGCACCCCTTTGGCTAAATAACTTTTTGTTATATTTTGTTTTGTTAGAGATCAATCCCAGGACATGGTTCATGCTAAGTAAGAAATCTACCACTAAGCACACCTCCAACCCAAACTGTTTGCTTGATTTTTTGCCTTTTTTTTTTTTTTTGCCTTTTTTAAGGCAGGGTCTTGCTAAGTTACCCAGGCTGCCCTCAAACTTGTAATTCTTCTCCCTAAGCTTCCCAAGTAGCTGGGATTACAGGTGCCCAACAGTGTATCTGGCTCTACACTATTTGTGTAAATAAAATTTTATTGGAACATAGACATGCTATTCATGGGTTGTTTCTGTGCTACAAGACTTGAGTAGATGTACAAAGACTAGAAGGCCTGCAAGGTCTGAAATAATTATTCTTAGTCCTTTACAGAAAAAGTTTGTCCACCCTTAATTTAGATCATCACCAACTCTTGCAGAAGATATTATCAAGAAATCCTTATTGATCTATTCCACTAAATAGTCATCAAAATCATGATAAAGTTTTTGTTTTTTTCTTTAGTGGTTAGTTCTAAAAACGTTTGTCAAAAATACAGATTTTGTTTGCCACAAAGTAGTTATTTGCCCAAACTTATTCAGCAAATCAGTTATCATTTGAGGAAATCATCCATTAAGATACATAAAATGGGGCTAGGGATATAGCTCAGTTGGTATAGTGCTTGCCTTGTATGCATAAGGCCCTGGGTTTAATCTCCAACACCACCAAAAAAAAAAAAAAAAGATACATGAAATACAGTATAAATCATATATTTATTGAAAATAATCATATTGTTATTGGAAATTCCTTATGTTTCAAGCAGATGGACAGGCATTAAAAATACATGCAAGATGAATGAGATAGAGCACCTGGTTTTGAGGGCCTTATAGATCACTGACAAAGTCTAATTACTCAAAAACATAAAAAAATAAAGCATTCAGCAACTCAAGTTCATAATCTCAGGGTTTTGTTGTTTTGTTTCATTTTATTTCAGTATTAGGGATTGAATCCAGGGACATTCTACCACTGAGTTACATCTTTTACCCTTTTTGAAAAAATCTGAAGACATGGTCTTGCTAAATTGCCCAGGTTGGACTTGAATTTGTGATGCTCCTGCCTCAGCCTCCTGAGTTGCCACCATGATCAGCTCATAAACTCAGTTTATTAATCTTATTATTGTCAATGTCAAGCACAGAGTACAACTGTTAGCAATACAGAGGTTAATACAGAGGTTCCCAAATTTTCTTGGTTCAAGGACACATGGTGCTCTTTGTGACAGTTTTACTTTTGTTTGTTTGTTTGGTTGGTTTTTGGAGGAGATACTGGGAGTTAAACCCAAAGCCTCACATGTACTAAGTGTATTCTATATTTTTCTTTTGTTTTGTGGTGCTGGAGATTGAACTCAAGTCCCCATGCATGCTAAACACATGCTTTACCACTGAGCTATCCCCTCTGCCCTGTTCTAATATTTTAAAAATTGAACTGGTTTTGTTTTGTTTTTTGGAGTAGTGGGAATTGAACTGAGGGTACTCAACCACTGAGACACATCCCTGGCCCTATTTTGTATTTTTGTTTAGAGATAGGGCCTCACTGAGTTACTTAGCAACTTGTTTTTGTTGAGACTGGCTTTGAACTCATGATCCTCCTACCTCAGCCTCCCAAGCCGTTGGGATTACAGGTGTGCACCACCACGCCTGACTTTTGTTTTGTTTTTAGATATAAAACTATTTTCCTCATGACTACCATTAACTCTATTCTCATTTTTTAACATGGTAAAATACACGTAATGCAAAATTTACTATTTTAACCACTTATGTGTCTAGTTCAGTGGCATTATATATATTCACATTGCTGTGCAACCATCATCACCATCTATCTCCAGAACTCCTCCATCTTTCCAATATGAAATTCAGTATACATTACATAATAATTCCCATTCTCACCTTTTCCCAACCTTCTGGCAACCAATGCACTAGGTACCTGCCTTGTTTGAGTGGAATCACACAACATTTGAGTGTCTGCCTCATTTCTCTTAGCATAATATCCTTGATTAGTACAATAGCACGACCACATTAAAAAACTTATAAACCAAAGGGGCATACATTTTCATTTTCTTTCTTTACATTTAACTTAAATGAACAAATGGCAAAATATCAACAGTTTCTCAATCTGCTTTTCTTAAATGGGGCATTAATATATTAAATACACTAACTATTTCTTCTACAATAAACCAAACATAATGCCGCTGAGCTCACTTTGAAACCAAACTTAACAACAAATCCTTACAGAAACACAGACAATCTCATTTGAAAAGTCTGCTCATGAATACAATGAATAGTCAGAGATTAGTATTACGTTTGGAAAAAAATACTTACTGCCTTCCCATGTACATTGCAACAGATTAAGAGCACCTTCTATTCGTTTCCAGTGCTGAAGATGAAAGAAAGCATAGGCAATTGCTTCACTATCACCTCGCTTCAAAATGTGTTCTGGAGGTAAAATTAAACTTTTCATCTCTAGTAAATACTGCAAGAATAACATGCACATAAACAAACAACAGAAAAAGAAATGTTAAACTGTGTTAAATTCAAACACCCACAAAAACATATTCAAAATGTTATAAAGCAAATTCATTAAAGACACATTAATCTTCATGAAATGACATAAAGGTCCTACAGAAACTTGTGTATAAACTGCTTATATATGCAAATTCTAAAAATCAGAATGTTCCTATAGGTAAAAATAAGGCAATACATGGCTTATGTGACCTTACTAAATACAAAATGAAGACTCAAGCTCAGTAAATAATGTGAGAATATTTTTATTTTTATTTTTTTTAATTTTTTATTGTGGGTTGTTCAAAACATTACAAATTTCTTGACATATCATATTCCACACTTTGATTCAAGTGGGTTATGAACTCCCACCTTCACCAGCGGAGCACAACAGACACTAGTATGGCAATATGTAAATCAATGGATGTGTAACTGATGTGATTCTGCAATCTGTGTATGGGGTGAAGGTGAGAATATTTTTAAATGTGAAATTATCAAATACAGTTTTGAAATAATACTTTGTGACAACATTCAATTCTTTTTTTCTTTTATTCCCATTTTATGGGTAAAAAAACAATTGTGGAAAAAATGCAATTAAATTAATACTTATTGAATGCAAACACTGTGCTTATTAGGGAATACCAAAAACAAAAACAAAATAATAAAAAAAAACCCTACCTGTTCTCTGGAGCTTCATATTATAATGGGAAGGTTTCTTAAGTAAATAAGTATAACCAAACTATGTCAAGGGTCTTACTAGAGGTACAAACAATGTACATGGCCACAAGGATAAGAAATTGTTTTTTGTTTTCATTTTTTTAAAAACAGCTTTATTAAGATACAAATTCACCTTAGAATTTACCCAAAGTGTACAATTCAACGTTTTTTATTATATTCACAAATATGTGCAACCATTGCACTTATTTCAAAAGGTAACACTGTACCCTTTTATCATTCTCTACTTCCTCATTTGCCTAACACCCTTAAGCAAGCACTAGCCTATTCTGTGTTTCTATAAATTTGCCTGTTCTTGACATTTCATACAAATGGAATCTTATCATATGTGGTCCTCTGTGGCTATTTTCTTTCATTTAGCATATTTTCAAGGTATATCCAGGTCATAGCACACATTGGTACTTCATTCTTTTTTATGGTTAAATAATATTCTTGTGTGTATATGTGTGTGTGTGTGTGTGTGTGTATTTTCAATTCATCAATAGACAGATATTTGGTTGTTTTTACCTTTTTACTATTTTGAATAAGACCGTTAAAAATATTTGTGGGGTTCGGGATGTGGCTCAAGTGGTAGCGCGCTCGCCTGGCATGCGTGAGGCACTGGGTTCGATCCTCAGCACCACATAAAAATAAAGATATTGTGTCCATCTAAAACTAAAAAATAAATATTTAAAAAAATATTTGTGTACAAGTTTTGTCGTGAACAATGTTTTCATTTTTTTTAAGGAATTACTTTGGGGCAAGAGTGCTGCGTGCATGATAACTCTATGTTTAGGAGATATTATGATTTAGGGTCTAGAGATAAACCACTCTATGGGATTTGAGCTAATATTTAAAGATGGATAGAAACTAGATAAGCAGACTGGGAGTAGGGAGTGAAGAGAAGAACCAAAGGACATATTCAAAGCACAGGCTCTTCTTGAAAACAGGCACTGAACCAGAAAAGCATAGCGCAAGATGCATGCATTGAAGGTATTGGTGAATATTCCTGTTATAGTCTATCAATTCTTCTTCATATATGAAACTGAATTCTCTCTCAAATGCTTCAGAAAAATACTCATCCTAATATTTTAATCCATAACAAAAGCAGTATAATCACAGTTATCACAAATCATGTATAATACTTTTAGGAAGAAAGATACAAAATTAACCACTTGTACGTTATCTTTACTATTAAGTGCTCAACTTAAAACAAAACCTTTTTAAAAAATGTTTAGTTAGTTAAATACTTCCTCCAAAGACTGAGGCCAGAATGCACTTCCCTTATATAACCAGTCTGAAACAACCTCTTTAGTCCTAAACAACTGGATGTTAATTATGAGTCATAAGGTCCAAACCATATTAACTTCTTTTGTAAAATATAAAAAGAGAAACATTCCAGATATGTCTCAGAAGAGATATTCTCACATTTCAAGTTAAAGTATCGCAGGCTGTTAATATAAACTGCGGTAACTATAAATTAAAGAGCTGAACTTGTAAAACACTTAAAGACTGCTTATAAGCAATAAAATTCCAGGGAGAAATTTTATATCAAAAGGTTATAGTGGTTTCAAATTTAAACCTTAGGTTATTAATACATAGGTACTCATCATATTGATAGATCTGAAATAATTTCTTCTTTATGAAATGTGCCTCTCCAATTATTACTGAGCTAATGCCCATCTTTAATTACTTTTACTCTTGATGTCTCTCTATGGCTCTGTCCTCAAAGTGTAAGAATGCAGTCTGCTCATCGATTTATTTTAGCAGATGTCACAAACTATGAGATTATTTACTAATCCAGTTTGGGGACTTAACATTTCCCATTCAGTTTCTTAAAGGAATGCAACAGAGGTTGTGTCCTGGTCAAGCAAAGCCCATTTGCTGCCTGGTTGGGTTTTTTCCCCTTAGTGCCTTGGGCCTATATTCAAGAGGGTAATATTCTTTCTAATCCTCTCTAATCCTTGCCCATTTTTTTGAAACACAGTAAAAGATCACTCACACCAGGCAGCTGTGGGAAAATGGACTCAAATAGCTGACCTCTGACATGACTCCTTACGCTCTTTGCAAGTGCACTAAGAGCTTCTTCAGTAAGATGCAAAGAAAATGTGGTAATCAGTGCCTTCACCATCATAAAAAGAGTATCTCATTTTCAGAAGAAAACTGTTTATTTCTTAAACCAGGTACTTTTGATTGAAGTTCTGCTTTATTTTATAGAGAAGAAAAAATTCCAAATCATTTTTAGAGAGTTTTGGAACCCAACAGTTTAGTTTAAAACCCCAATTTAGCATAATGATAACCACTTAGCAAATGTAACCAAAGTTATTCAGTTAACAATGATTCAGTAAAACATGCGTTTCAGAAACTATCAATTTGATTTATCAAGAAAACACTTTTTGAATAACTATATACCTATATTTTCACTGCTAAATAATCTTACGTGTCAATTCAGATAAGAATGAACAACATATGACATCCATTAGGAAATTATAATTCAGGATTTTATATTTTTTAATATTTTGCTATTTAATTATTTTTTATACTACCTTATTTTTTATATCAGCAAATGTGCTTTTCAATTTGACTTTAAAGCAAAGCAATTTTTCAATTTGACACTGAAATAAAATTTGGTTCCCAAAATATAAGAGAAATATTTCAATTTATGAAAATGTATCTAAAGAGCTCAGGGCAAGTTTATGGTAAAGTGTGTGCTAAGCATGCATAAGGCCCTAGGTTCAATCTCCAGTGCAAGCATGTGAACACACATATGAGCATTTAAAATAAGTTATAGTTTTATATTTATTTGATCACCTTCATAAAGTGATATTCTGGAATTTCTGCTACATATGCTGTAAGTTGCTGCACAATAAAAACTATCTTTCATATTCTACTACAGCATCTAGAATATTACAGTACCCAAAGCAAGCACCAAAATAATGAACTGAGCTGACCTGATATACACAGCTAAAATATTTTAAAATTCATATTTCAGTTTTTACTTAAAGATATGTTCTAACTCTCTGTGCAAATTAAAACCAAACAAAAACAAAAAACCTCCAACCCCCACTATAATATACCGACTCCATTTTTCTCCCAAAGTAGGATCAAACTGTTTTGAATCATTTTTTACTTCATACATTTTGTAATCTGTATCTATATAAATCTAACAGTTAAAATTATTATAGAGTAGTCCATTAAAAATGGAATTAAACTGGGCATGATGGCACGTCTATAATCCCAGCTTACTTGTGAGGCTGAGGCAGAAGGATCTCAAGTTTGAGGCCAGCCTAGGCAACTTGGTAAGACCCTGTCTCAAAATAAAAAATAAAAAGAGGGCTCAGTGGTAAATGTTCCCTGGGTTTAATTCCAGAATTGCAAAATAAAAAAAAATAAATAAATGTGAATTATTTTATAATGTAAGAAATAAGATCATACTGGAATTCACTACCATCCTTAAAAGGTTAAAAACAGTATCATTAACCAAAATTTGTAAAACGTTTTAAAAAAATGGTTTAAAAAGTTCAAGAAATGATGGGCATAGTTTTGCACTCTGAATTTAACTTAGTCTTTCAAGCTACAGACATGTCTATTTACCAATATTTATTGAGTGCTTGTCATATGCTAGGTGGAGTACTGAACATAAAATGAATAAGAGCTCTGCTCTTATTCACAGGGAATAGGGAGAGAAATATAAATGAGACCAAAAACAAAGAAACAAAAGATATGACTGAACAAACAGAGGAAAGAACCATTATCTCTACTTGAGAAAATTGGGACAGACTCTCTTAAAAAGGAGACAACAATGGGCAAGGGGTTGGGCAATGAGTAGGAACTTGCCAAGTAGAGAAAAGACTGGACATATATACAATGGTAGTAGGATATGATGAGACATGAAAGATTATTATGAACAGTGACACTGGAGATAAGAAGGCAGAAGTGACAAGGAGTAAGGCTGGAGACCTAGACTGTGAAGGGCTCCTATATGCATAGTACTAAGGCATTGGTTCTTATCCTGTAGGTAATAGGAAATAAGTAAGGCCTTTAAACAAGGTAAGATTTATTTAGTAGCTAGACAGGTAAGATTTAGTAGGTAGACAACTCTGGTGACAGCCTGAGTGGAGAGGGGCTGATGGCAGGGAGACCACTGAGAAATCTGCCTTAATAGCTCACACAGAGACGGTAAAGTACTGAGGTGATTTCTATATCTGTGGTGCTTAGATATGCATAGAAAATGTCTGGCAATATATACAACAAATA